GATAAAAGAAAGAAGCATTTATGTGCTTCCATTGGCTTTGCACAGCATTAGGTGAGAATACTTAAAGCCCAGGTTTCTACCTGAGGAAATATTTTTTCACAGAATGTAAAATTGGACTCCCATATGGTCTTTAGCATTACTAAAATAAAGAAAACAGCAGAAAGAAAAAGAAAAAAGATATCAGACATTTCTGCAAGCGTACCCAGAATCACTGTAATCAAAGTAATTGGCTGGAATACAAATCTTCATTTCCAGCCAGTTTCTGATTACTAGGAACTGCAATAGGCTTTCCAGGGCAGCCAATCTGTCTACTGTAGCTTCCACTCCCTCAAGATGACCATTCTCTGAAGCTGCATATTCAGTCAACGGATTTGATTCAGAAAGCTGGAAGTCAGAGTCTCCATTTTCAGTTGCCTGGATGACAAAGCTCCTATCACAGCTACTGGAGATTTAGTTAATTATCAGTGGAATCTTTATTTAATTGAGCAAATACTGGAATCTTCTTTAAATGGTTGTTAATCTTACTGTTGTCACATAGATTTGAGGGTCTCTAAACCCAACACTGAATCCCAATTTGAAGATATGGCAAGCTGAAGCCCTAATCCAAGTATTATCTGGTGCATTAATTACCATATTCCTAGAGGGCACCTTCCAGAAAAACAGTCAAATTATTTCCTCTGTTACTGCTAGACAGAATTTGATAAAATTTTAATCCAATCAGAATTTTCACTTTTCAGAATATAAGAAATAAGATGTAAGTAAGAAATTGCACATCCATGGTTCTGTGTAAAATTCTTATATGAACTAGAAGTTGCTTAAAACAAATGCATAAAGGCTACTGTACAATGTAATACCTCAAAGCTAGAAATTCTACCCTGAAACTAGTATTTGCTATCATATTTATCACAGAGGAGCATAATTAAATGTTTTAAACATTAATTTGGATGAACTTAATACAGATGCAGCCACAGAATGTCTGCACATTTTATGCAAAACTAAGTTGGATTTATAATTACAAAGGGCATTTAAATCATGAATGTGGCTGAGCCATTGAAAGGCATCATGGTCAACATCTATAGATTTTTTCTTGTTGATGTACTTTAAAAGTTCCTCACTGTAAAAAGCAGGACACATGTAGATATCTAGTCCAAAAATTAACCTGTCGAGACCTATTTAGGAAGAAATTACTTGCTCAAAGAATGATGAGGCACTGGTTCAGGCTGCCCAGAGAACCTGTGGTTGCCCCAACTCTGGAGGCATTCAAGGGCAGGTTAGATGGGTCCCTGGGCCGTCTGAGCTGGTGGGTGGAGGCCCTGCCAGAGGGTTGCAACTGCATGGTCTTTAAGGTTCATTCCAACCCGAGCCATTTTGTGATTCTAAGGTGTTTCATAATTGCCTTTCTTGCCCTGAAGAATTTAATTATTTGAATAAACCTGTTCAAGAATCATTATTTAGTTAAAAAATCCAATTTCTCATGCCCACTAGAACATAAGTATACCACTAACATTGCACTTGCCTAAGACTCCATGCTTGCACACTAGAGACCATTATTTAGTCTCATTCAGTCTCAGTCTTGTTTAGTGAACAGTGAAAATACTTTCCTAAAGGCACTTGAAATATTAGCAATTCATCTGCCATCCCTACAAACCAAGACATGTGAGGAATTACAGCTCTGGGCAAAACTGGTCATTGCCCCATTTGTTCTCATGCAATAATAGGGGATGCTGATTCATCCTAATACTGTTCCCAAGAGGCAATATGTTGTGCAGCTACACTCCTCAGGATGTGCAGAGAGAAGATAAACAATCCATCGAGGCAGAAGCAAAGCAAAGTGGATAAAATGTTCAGCAGAGCACTCAAAAACATCAGTAAGGACTCAGCATACACTGATCCCACCAAACTGTAGGCTCAGGTAGAGCACAAGCCCCAGTAGACTCCTTTGTGGCTGATGGGGCAGGCAATGTGAATCTCTGATGGGCTGAATCAACTTCTTCAGCTGGGTTTCTCTCTTCCTATGGACTAACGTGCCAGTGAAAAGAATCCAGTCATTAGGGGCTGATTTAAAGCCTGCTGAAGCCATAGGACATCATTTCCTCTGTGTGTGAGGGGAGACAGAAATATGAAATGCATGTAATCTATTAGAAGCTACCCTAACACACTCTTGCTCACTAGGAACAATTTGCTGGAAATGATTTAGCTGTTCACTGAAAAATATAAAGAAAAAAGTAATAAAGAAAAAGTAATTGAAAAATACAGGCTGTTTTAAGTTTAGTAGCTCCTGATTTTCATTAGGATCTATTTATTTACCTTAACATTCCCCTCAGCTTCAATTTGTTTGTAGCAAGAAAGGAAAAGTAATTCTGGTGAATAAACACTGATATTTAGTTACATAAAATATTCTACAAGCACGCACATCACAAATAAACTCAATCTTAAATGTGTGTTCAATTACTAATTTTAGGACTTGAGTTTTATCCAAAAAAGAGCATGGAAAATCTTGACACTTCTGTCCCCAAATAGACAAATTGGAAGGGGCAAAAGAAGGCAAAACAGAAGCTTCCACAAGATGTGGAGTAGCAGCTTAAAGTATATTTCTTAAAAGTGTGTTTTTCTTTAAATACCACTGTACATCCTATGGTGGATATTAATTGTAGAATCACAGAATTACAAGGTTGGAAAGGACCTACAAGATCATCTAGTCCAACCACATCCCCTCTAATGAAGTCTATATCTGCTATTAGGCCAAAGAAAAAGAAGGAATACATTAACTACAGAAGGCAAGAGCTCAGGATTATTTTTTTTACTTTTTTAACACCCTCCAAAAAAATGCTAAGAGATCACTTACAACATAATTAAGTGACATAACACTTGTAAAACAGAACATAAAGGAAAAGGAACTTTAAGAAAGGTCAGGTTATGCTTTTAAAGACAGAAGAACAAAACATTTATTTTTATTTGTAAGGAGTACTGCAGGAAAGTACCACCACCTCCCCCTCAAAACTAGTGTAGGCAAGGCCAGAGGCATCTTACTTTACCAAGTCATGTTGCTGGGGGACCAAGTTCAGCAAACACAAAGGAAGAAGCCAAAAGATTAAGTGAGATGATGACTATTACCATATTTCACAGTCGAGTCAGATGGCACTTCAGTCCTGAATTCAACACACCAGTTATTTTTCAAAATGAATTTCAGCACTCCTTAGAGAGAGCACTGTTTGTTCCAAATTACCCAGGACATGAAAATAAATTGGTTTCTGAGTTTGTTCAAGCTGTAGGCCCCAAGATTTCTTTTTCACCGCAGTCTTCCCCAGAAACCTTGATGCTGGTTACAAAGCATGACTTTGGTGAACAGTGGATGGATTTAAAGGACACAACTTGAAATTGAAACACCAAACACTTGCTTTAAGAAACAGCAAGGAAAAAAAAGCCAAAACCATAACACCTCACTCTGTCAAAATTTCACCAAGAAGAGTATCTTATTTTGTGATGCAATAACTTCAATGCCACAGACTTCTTTTTCCCATTGAAGAAACTACAGTGAGTGAAGTTTAGAACATCAGGGGATGCTGAGTCTTACGTGTTGAGTATTCCTGAATAACAAGTTACAGTCATAGTTATTGGGATTGTCAGCTCATGATCTTTGCACATCTCCTGATTCCTCAGCTTTCCTTATACCTGCCTGACAGCTGTAATTCTGTACAGGGACAGACAGAAGCAGCTTCCCAGCAGTGAGAAGGACCTTTTTGCAAGGTGAGCTAGTACATCACCCCATCACCCCTTATCAGAGACCTTCAGTCAAATTAGGCTTTCTAATTAACACTAAATTAATCTTTTTAATTGTCATCAAAGAAACTAATACTGACATAACAGTTTTGTCTGGATTTCAGAATGTCCTCTCTCTGTCCTGGGAGGTGATGGATGCCCTGTCCCTGGAAACACTCCAGATCAGGCTGGATGGGGCTCTGAGCAACCTGATCAAGGTGTAGATGTCCCTGTTCATTGCAGGGAAGTTGGACTAGATGGCCTTTAAAGGTTCCCTCCATCTCAAACAGTTCTATGATTCTGTAACACGCTGGGCTGCCCAGGCTGATGTGAACACATCTTTTAAGTTCTCTGAATGCTTCAGTGGCTGTCTGGTAAGTACTAGCACAAGGAAGAGCTGACAAATCTTCGAGGAGCCCTGCACTGCACCACCTTGAATTATAATGCTGACAGCACCGACCATCTGTGATAATACAAATCCTCAGGAAAAAAGAAAATCTGCTTTTTAATAGAGAATAAGGGATATGTAAGGATATGTAGTTTAAGAGAAATTATATTGCTGCAGTTACTGCTATAATTTGCTTCCCCATTGCTTTTTCTTGTTCAAAGAATTTACCTTCCCAGCATAGAAAGCGTGTCCAACATTTTCATTTAATTCCAGACATGCACTTAAACAATAGATGGCAAGACCTCTGTTCAGAACACTCTTGTGAACTTACAAAACTAGGGATTTATGAAGACTCTTATTTCTTATACCACTATCAGATTCAGTGTACAGTTGTGAGGCCATTTTTTTCACGTAACTTAGAAATTGTTAAAATAAGGATATCATCAGTAGTGAAAAAATTATAGAATAGACTTCAATATGATAGAATAGCAAAAATATTACGGGAAATTAAAGCAATAACATAATTACATTTGAATCAATCTACCACGCCACTTCAAAGACAAACTACAGGATAAAACCAAAAGTACTAATATCAAAGCCTGATAAATTTTTAATGCCTTGTACCAGCATCTTTTGATGTAAATGTTACCTAATAGATAGATATCTAACCTTCCAAATTCCATTTAAAAAATTCATCTGCAAAGCTATCAATAGCTGATGAAATATGTCATTTTCAAATAAAGGACATTTCATTTCCACACAGAGGACAACGAGAAGGTATTCAGAGGATTACTGTTTTACTGATAATGTTCTATCTGCAGCTTTCAAGACCAATATTATAATGGTTCCATACCGTGAAGCTGTTGTTGACATTTTTTGTGCTCGACTCAGCCACGCTGGCATCAGACAGGTCAACTTCATCAAATATTAGAGACTGTGAATGGAAAAGAACACAGAAATGTTAAATATAGCTTGGGTCCAATGTGAAGCATGCTTACACTCTCTGCTTTCATTTCCTCATGTCCACTCCAATTAGAAGATAAAAACAAAATAAAAGCAAAAAAGAAAACACAGAAAACACTATTGAGGTGATAGAACTTCCTACCTCACCACCAAATACGTTTCTATTTGCTAACTAAGAGAATACAAAACAGTGACTCCCAAAATGCATACTGTACTTAGGTTTGAGGCAACTCCAGATATGAGTACATGCTAGGAGAAGAAATCATTGAGAACAGCCATGACGAGAAGGACTTGGGAGTCTTGATGGACAAAAAGCTGGACATGAGTCAGCAGCGCATGTCTGCAGGTTGAAAGGCCAACAGTTTCCTGGGCTGCATCAAAAAGAGGGGTGGCCAGCAAGGGAGGGGATTGTCCCCTTCTACTCAGTCCTCGTGTGGCCCCGTCTGGAGTACTGCATCCAGGCCTGGGGGTCCAGTACAGGAGGAATGTGGTCCTCCAGAGAAAGGCCATGAAAATGATCAGAAGGCTGGACAACCTCCCCTGTGGAGAAAGACTGAGGGAGTCGGGCTTGTTTAGCTTGGAGAAGAGAAAGATCTGAGGAGACCTCACTGCAGCCTTCCAGTACTTGAAGGGGGAAATTAATTTTTTACATGGTCTGATACTGATAGGAAAAAGGGGAATGGCTTTAACTAAAAGAAGGGAGATTTAAGTTAGATGATAGGAAGAAATTTTTTAGTCGGAGAGCGGTGAGGTGCTGGCACAGACTGCCCAGAGAGGTTCTGGATGCCCCATTCCTGGAGACATCGAAGGTCAGATTGGATGGGGCCCTGGGCAGCCTGAGATGGTGGGTGGCCACACTGTCCATGGCAGGGGGTTGGAGCTAGATATCTCTAAGGTCTCCTCCCACCTAAGTAAATCTGTGATTCTGTGACTAACAGAATCGCCTTGCTCTTTTTTAATCATACCCCACTCTTTCTCTTTTATGCTATAGGAAGTAGAAATAAAATAATTGCTTGCTCTACGATCCAGCATGCAATCAGTGTTTGGTGAGACTTAGCAAGTTTGGGGAGTCAGTGCTGCAGGGTATTCATGCAGCTGCCTACTCATTACTCCTCCTTTTCTCATCTTTATGACACAGATAACACTGCCATTCTCACAGCTCATATCTGTGGTGCTTTTTAAGACTTACAAACTGCTTGGGGTAGCAACAAATGCAGAAAAGTGTAATAGCACATGTACTTCAGTGCTAGACTCCCTGCAGAGACTACATCTTCCTTGATTCATCACAGCCATACAAGTGTGTAGTATGTACCCATAGTCAAGAGTCATAGAAAGAGAGGTTTTAGTGCCTCAGTTATAGAATATTATTAAGAGGATTGGCTAGAGAAGTTGATGGAGACCTGAAGCACGTCACCTACATCTCCAGTCAGATGCTGCAACACCACAGGATACAGAAAAAGCAATGACCGTTGCTATGGAACAGCACGATCTGAGCCTCTTCAGCAAGGCAAAATGCTCTCATTCCAGTCATGAGGTGGAGGAAGGAAATGCCTTCAAGATAGGACAGAAGCATTCCTCTCTGCCCACCCCAGAATTTTCCACTACAAATTTCAATTGATAGGAAACACCTTTTCCCCACATAAATAAGTTTTGGCAGAAAAACTTCCTATTTCAATTTTGTGTAACCACTTTGACCCCTTTAAGAGCAATATGGACATCAAAACTGAAGAGCTTTGATGCAGTTTATGAGATAGTTTCTAAGCATTATTCGATTTTTACTTTTTTTGAAGTCATGGATTTGTTTGAGACCAACCACCCTCTAAGAACAATTGCAGAAGATGAATTAATAGTTGGTTTGAATAACCCAAGAAGTTAAAAGAACAGTGATAAACTTGACTTCCAAACATAAAAATCATGACATATCATGTCTTCCTTAATCAAAGCTAATTGAGCATACCGCTCCTTATGCACAATACTACTATTACGGAAATAATCATTAATAAATCATTAAATTATTGATATACTAATTATAAACCTAAGCAAAATTGAAGTACGTGGCATTAGATGCTAGCATCACTGAATTACCTTTGAATCCTTAGCATAGTAAAGGGTACGACCTCGAAGCTTGAAGTAACGCTTTTTCCACCTCTGAAAAGAACTGGTTTGCTTCAGTAGTAATCCTTCTTTTATACTTGTCTGAAAAACATTAAAATACAGTAGACAAGGTAAGTACATATCTAAATAGCTAAGCATATAGATCAAAGTTATTAGGTTTTTTTTCTGTTATTTATGTTACACATATTGTATAGATTTCTAACCATTCACATTAAATCGAGAGTAACTCTCCGGGCAACCAAAAAGCACAGCTATTTTTTCAACAATGCTAATTTTGCATTGAAAACAGAAAGGCAATCAAGAGGCATATAATTGTTGTGAAGATCACCAGAACACAATTCAAGTGTTTGGATAGCTACAAAACCACAAATTAAAGCAAGAGCCAACTGGTGGTGGCACAATGCAGACAAATGCTAAAACCAACCTACGTGAGGTCATTTCCAATGCCAGAATTTGATTCCATTGAGCAGAGAAACGATCACCACATGGGCCATAATTCAACAAGGTGCTTAAAAGTTTCTCATTCAAGCACAGGAATTATGCAAGTTGTGCATGACTCCAAGTACCTTGCTGAACTAAGGTCTTCAGCACGCACCCAGCGTACAAATACAATTACAGAATCACAGAATCACAAGGTTGGAAAGGACCTACAGGATATAGTCCAACCGTCCTTCCATCACCATTGCTACCACAAGCACTAAACCATATTTCGTAGCTCCGCATCCAGGCGCCTCTTGAACACTGCCAGGAACGGCGACTCCACCACCTCCCTGGGCAGCCATTCCAGTGCCTGACCACTCTGAGAGAAAAAGTTCTTCCTCAAGTCTAGCCTAAACCTCCTCTGATACAACTTGTGGCCATTTCCTTGGAATCCTGTTTGTTGTTTGGGAGAAGAGGCCAAACCCCTCCTCATCCCAGCCTCCCTTCAGGCAGTTGTAGAGTGCAATGAGGTCTCCCTGAGCCTTCTCTTCTCCAAAATCAATCCCAGCTCCCTCAGCCGCTCCTCATAAGACTTGTGCTTCAGATCCAAACCATTCCATTCCAAACTGAACCCTGCATATGTACAGCCCATGCCTTGAAATTCAGAAAGTGCAAATTACTGCATTTTAGATGTGCACACAGCTTTAGCCACCATGTGTGAGATTCATCAACCTGATGACATAATTCTCCACTTAATCAGACAAAATGACACCACACAGCTAGTTAATGGCATGAATCCTGCAATCCATTTTCTTCAGCTTTCAAGCTTGCAAAGAGTATGAGAAATCGTAAGTGCATTTGGATATTATATTCCAAAATGGTCCCTAATGCATAAGATTTCCAATTTGTACTGCAGAAATGCGATGCAAATCTTGTAATACAATTTCTAGACAATATGATATAAATATCATCTGAAGTTATTCTAGACTTTTCGAGGCTTAATCTGACCTGATTTAAAGTTCATAAACATTTTTGTCTGATATGATGTATAAAATTGCCCTAAACTTCAATGAAAGTTAATAACAATACAGAAAACCCAGAAAGCACTGAAACGTTCCTATCATTTCCTTTGAATGAGAGGCATCATTGCTATGAATATCGCAGCCTTCATTTAGATATTTCTAATGCAATAAACTCTGAATACAGCCCAATGACCACAAAGCAATGGAATTAACGCTCTTAAAAGGCAGTCCCCTCAGAGGAGATACTGTGGATGAAAGTTTTGCTGCATTTACATGTCACTGGTTCAGAACATGGCATCCTGTCAGCCATTCCTTTTGAGCTAAAGAGTAGCAATTCCCAACTGAAAAGGAATGGAGAGCATGCTTGACACTCACAACTTCATACTGCCTGCAATTTTCTGACCAAGCCCAAAGATCAGCTATTTTTACATGACATAAATAGATTTAATCAGTTAGCAAGCATCCAGTTGCAAGCACATATTCAAAGCTGTTTAGTGTAGCCATGCAGCACTTGAGTTTTGCAGTGCTCCTTGAGATTTCCAAAGTTATCACACAGGATGGGATTAGATGGCTTCCGTGTTTGTCAAGGGAAACAATAATTCACCTGCATAGTAAGCACCGTTTTAGGGAAAAAGCTTTCCAAATGGAAGGAAATCCATGTTCACTGAAACACACTAAACATTCTAAGAAAATCAGAACATAAATATTACATTGCATACTATCAGGGATTTTAAAAATCTGGTCAAAGAATATTAAACCTCTTTAGACCTTGATTTATTACTTGCTAAAAATGAAATTTATTCTTTCCTGCCATTTTTGCACTTACGAAAGGTGTAAAAAATAAAGAGAAATGCCTATTTCTCCTTATTTCTATTCATCTCTTAGAACACTTCTATCCCTAAATTCAAACCAAGAGCTTCTACATTAAATCCATTTTGCATTTAGCCCCTTGAAATTAACTCATCACAATCAAATAACTGTGCAGGCTCTGTAGAATGTATTTTTGTATTGAAGTGCTAGAAAAATACCAGATTGATAAATATTTCCCTGAGGAATGTAAGCACTTCATGAAACATACATCTGAAGTCTACATTTTACCACAAATATGTATTCTGGACTCAAACTTAAGCATGTCAAATAGCCAATTCCACAGCTGCAGACTCCAAATTTGAGCCTAAAGCTTTGGCCCAGTATCTTTAATTAACTTTATTTAGCTTTTAAAATGTGCAGAAAACCCCCAGCTGCTGACTGAGTCGTTAGTTAATCTGCTAATAAGGCTTTCCTGCATCTACATAAAAGCCACAACACTTACAGGAATTTAAGACTGGATGGGGCCTCCCAGGGTACTGAATTTGAATATGTACAGCCAGGTCATGTAAAGTTTTTTAAAAACATTCATCAGGATATCAGAAGAAAGCATTCAGTACCTTCTCTCTCACAATTGCAGGTAGAGCAGTGCTCCAAGATCCCACTGTTCTGAGAAACCTTCTTCAAATTAATCTCAGCTGGACATTAAATCTGAAGCATAAGCAATAATCGTTGCCAATTATATTAACTGCTTGCCTACTGCAATGTAGAAGAAACAAAAAGGTGCACATCCCACAGTTCTATACCACTTATCACATTTAGAGAATCACTGCTCATCTGCTTGCCAGTCTCCAGCTTCCCCATTCAGCTAGTTGTACAACCCAGTAATACAACATCCCTCCAGAGGTATGCAGCTATAATAAAAGCACACGGTTAATGAGTACAACAAAGGCTCACAGTTAATATGAACGACATCACAGTACGGTTTCCCTTAGTTACCAATGAGCTTGGACATGCTTCAATGTAAGGCTGAATTAACAGCTAACAATCTCTACTACTTTAGCCATTAACAATTGGAAAAATGATGCACAGTATTACAGTCACATCACAGTACTCCACAGTTGCGTATTTTCCTAAAGAAATGTAATTATCATATTACATTTTATACAGCTAAGAAGGTTTAAATTTATAGCCAACAAATCCGCGAGATGCAACTCTGCATCACAATAATCTGAATGATAATAATAAATGGGATTTGTGCACATCTAGATCTTGAAAAGACTTTGAGGCATCTTCTTTCATATCAGCAGATTTTTAAGTCTTCCATATCTAATATTTGAATATTCAGAAACAACTGGTTTTGTTTCAAAGAGACTCAACTACACCGCCTTACTCCTGATTCACTCATTTTGTGATGTCCTGCATTTGTGCCAAAATCAAAATTTGTAATTCTGTTGCTTCAAGAAAGATCCTATGAAAGGAGAAAACATTTTGAACTTAGAAAATACTGAACTGTCTATAGTAACTAACAGTGAACTTTCTGTTGCAGTTTACTGGCAACTGCAAGTGAAAACACTGAATAATTAAGCATAAAACTCTGCCCTTGTTTTAGTGTATGTAACAGCATGTGCTATTCAGAATATGTCAGGAGACTGCAGAAGACAACATCAGGAAATGCCTGAAAATGAACAGAATGAAAAAGGGAACTGGAAAGGCCATAAAACAAGGCAGGTTAAATGTAAACAGGAAATTAAGAGGATGAAGAAGAATTTTAAGACCACCTTGCAACAGATGCACACGCTGAGACTAAAACATTCTTTAAATACTTTGAGAGATGAAAGGCAGCCAAGCAGTTGCCAGGATCATTTTCCAACAGAAGCATGAAAAGAGTACTAAAGAAAGGGAAGATCACAGCAAAGAAGTTTAGCAAATTGTTGGCATCCATCATCACTGATGAAGATGATGAGTCGGCTTCTCACACAACACCTCTTTCTAACATCAGAGTAGCTACATCAACATTGCATAGAAAATACTGGACCTGCTGAATCACAAAGTCACGTGCCTCAGATGGCACTGACCCTTGAGTTCTGAAGATCCTGAAAGGACTACTAATAGTAAATTCCATTGCTGGTAACATAGAAGAGTCCAAGTGGAAGAATAATATTGCTGAGCCCACACATATCTGGGGGGAAAAATCAATGCGCCTTTGCAAAGGAAAATATTGCCTTGTTACTGGCAGGAACTCAGAGTGGCATGGAAGCATGTGGGTAAATGAAGATCCAGTTGACTTGTGTTTTCAGAACAAGGCATCCCAATATAGATTACTGAAGAAAGTAACAGAATGGAATTGAAAAAAGGGGATTTTTATGGACCTAAAGCGATAGGAAGCACAAGTATGACTTAAAAGTCACTTTTTGCTGGAAAAAGTCTTAACAATAGGTTTCCCACAAAATCAGGACTAGGACCAAGTCTGTTCAACTTCATTGACCCAAAGAAGGACCACACAGAAAAATCTTAAGATCTGTGGTTAAATTTCATGTAAATGGTAAAGATCTTAAAGTTTTAAAACTGAACAGGTGGTCTAATGTGTAGAAGATAACCTTCAGTCCAAGTCAGTATAAGATTATTTGATTAGGGAAGAATAATCTGATCCTCACTAACATTCTCACATGAACTTTGAGTGGAGAAAAGACTTCTTCAAGTCATAGTTGATAGTTCTCTAAAATCCTCAGTTCAGTGTTCAACCACAGCCATAAATGCCAACTAAATGCTGGGTGTCATTGTGAAAGGTGACAAGTAAAGACCAGCTTAACAAAGATAATAAGCAGGAAT